GCTTGTTGGTCAAGCTGTTTATCTTTATTCCCTCGTATTATATTAAGTTTTGAGTTCTAAACCTACTAGGAGCACTTCTCTTTTTTTCCTTAGAGCCCCCTCTCATTCCCTCTAGATTAGATTTATAGATTTATAATTTGTCAATATATATATATATAAGTGTTGTCGATATAAAGGAATGCCATTGTGATGTTAATTCAATTAATTTTTATAATTATGTAATAAAAATATTTTTAAAACACAAGTATTTAGTGAATATGTTATAACTTAGCACTTGACCTCCTTTACTAAAAATTTACATAAACATTCTTTATAAAGAGGAGTACATATGCTGTTTATATTTGTGTAAAAAATCTATAACTAGAATTCAACTCAATCGGTCAATATAATAATAATAAATATGTTTAAATTTAAATATATATGTTTAGTCTCAATCATTGAATAATCTAGTATATAAACATTCTTTATAAAAGAATATACGTGTGATGTTAATTCGATCGATTTATGCAATTATATGATAAAAATATGTTCAGAACTCAAGTATTTAATGAATATGTTCTAACATAGCATTCGACCTACTTTGTTGAAAACTTATATAAACATTCTTTATAAAGAAGTATATATGTGTTTTTCAGTATTTGTTAAAATAATTTATAGCTAGAATTCAACTCGACCCTATTAATATAATCTTCTAATATATATGTTTAAACTCAATCGACTAAATCATCTAATATATAAATATTTTTTTATAAATGGTTGCGCATGTGACGTTAATTTTATCGATTTATGCAATTATCTAATAAAATTATGTTTAAAAGTCAAATATTTAATGAATATATTTAAACTTAGCATTTGACATCCTTTATTAAAAACTTATATAAACATTCTTTACTAAGAAGTGTATATGTGTTGTCGGTATTTATCTAAGAAATCTATAGCTAAAATTCAATTCGATCAATTAATATAATATTCTAAAAACATGCTTAAATTTATATATATATATAAACTCAATCGACTGAATCATCTAACATATAAACATTCTTTATAAAAAAATGCACATTGACGTTAATTTAATCGATTATGCAATTATCTAATAAAAATATTTTGAAAAGTCAAGTATTAATATATTCTAATTTAGCATTTGATCTCCTTTACTGAAAACTTACGTAGACATTCTTTATAAAGATGTGTATATGTATCGTCTGTGTTCATCTAAGAAATCTATAGTTAGAATTTAACTCAATCGGTTAATATAATCTTCTATTAAGTATGTTTAAAGATAAACATATATGGTTAAACTCAATCGTATGAATCATCAATATATAAACATTCTTTATAGGGGAATGCACATTTGACATTAATTTAATTAATTTATATAATTATCTAATAAAATATATTCAAAAAATCAAGTATTTAATGAAGATGTTGTAACATAGCATTTGACCTCTTTTATTGAAAATTTTATATAAACGTTCTTTATAAAGAACTGTACGTGTATTGTTTGTATTTGTTTAAAAAATATAGCTGGAATTTAATTCAATAGACCAATATAATCATCTTCTAAATATGTTTAAAAAGTGCACTTATGAATATATAACTTTCTTTATAAAACAATTGCACGTGTGAATATATAACCACTCTTTATTAAAAAAATGCACGTGTGACGTTAATTTTCAATCGATTTACATAATAATTTATTAAAAATATATGCGAATTTTAATAATTGAACTTCGTTATTAAAAACACATATATATATGGGTCTTAGAACTTGCCTTCTTTGGTACCAATCCGTGCCTATCAATTAATGCATTTTCAAGTCTTAATCATATCCATTAAGCAAAGGGAGGCTAATAATAACTAATGAGCTATAATTTCTTTGATAAAACTAAAGCCAGTCATTAATGAATTAAAGCTAACAAATCTTCATTAGTATATACAAGGAAAGTTAAGGAGATTCTATCTGCATGCCTGGATTTTCAAATTTATAGTTGCTGTCTAATTACATGGCCCCTCATCCCTTAGTCTACTTATATGGAAATCACATAATTGTTTTCACATATAAAGAAAAATATTACCAAAAATGCTTCATTCTTTTACTCGTTTCCGGTAACAAGCACGACGTTCTAATATTAGTTAATAATCCACTCACTGAAATCTGATATGCCATCCTCACCGTACGTTGAGCGATATGTATACATGCAAAGAGAGATGTAACCAGTCAAGATGAACAGTCACCTACTGGTATGGAGTTAACGGGAACTAACCGCCAGTGAGTTCAAAAAACCAATATATAAACACAACCAAAACCCAGCGTTTCTGATCTGTGAACAATCATTTCCTTGATTTTTCTCCGAATATTGAACATGGCGGACCCGAAAGATCAACCACCCGGAGAGAAATCCTCGTCCTCTAAGCAGCAATCATCCCAGGAGAATCACTGTCCGAATGAGAAAAGGGATGGAGATAATGAGGGTGGGGGTGGTGAAGGGGAAAATAAGGCTGACGGTGTTGCTGGTGGTGGTTCTTCCTCTTCACCGCCGATCTCCGCCAGAAAGAGAGGGAGGAATGATGCTGATGGTGTGGATGTTGGGTCCACCGGTGTCAATGCAAGAGTTTCGAAAGCGAGGAAGAAAGGGGAAATGGACATTCCGAGTGTTGAACCTACATGTTACGTGTGTAAAAAAAAGTTTCGGATCCTGGAAGGCGGTGTTCGGACATTTGAGAGCCCATCCAAGGGAAACTCCGGGGGCGTTTCCTCCGCCGTCATTTACTCCACCCGACGGGTCTCCGGAAAGGAACAATAACGATGAGAAGGCTCTCAAGGATCAACTAGCTCCAACGCTGTTGAACCTGGGCGTATGAAACCATGCACAAGATGAGCCAAGAAGACTTCAACACCAGTGTTGCAACGGGGGATGCTTCTTCGTCCAGGGTGGGAAGAGGGTGGGGCTTGGAAATTGATCTCAATGAACCAGGAACCAGTTTTTTATTGGATCTAAATAACCCTCCGCCACCAGAGAATGACGATGATGATAATGGCAAAAGTTAAGGCATGCAACTTCTCATGGTGTTGCAGAACAGATAAGATCAGTGATTTTCTTTAGAAAATAAAGCATGTTTGAGATTAATTTACCTGTTTTTAACTTCAAACAGTATCTGTCATTTCATCAATTCTCTGTATGATGCAACATCAAGTTTCAGAATGTCAGTTTGTGTTATCCGATGAAAGTATCTTCTAAATGCTCATCGTCTTTTGTTTTTGTCCTTTAATGTATGTTTGAGAAGATTTATCTAATTTCTTGCAAGGAATTGGTCATATGCCTTTACAGATTGATGATATAATCAAACTGGCTTGCCCGCCTTGTTAAAGTGGTTAGAGATTCAGTGTTGATTATTATCAATGGAGTTGGTAGAACGTTTTGTCCGGTTAGTGAAACTTAAGTATTCCTCGTCGAAACATTTCTTCTTTATCTTATTCTCCTTTCTCTTTACTCTATAAGCTCATCTGTATTGTTGTTGTACTCATTGTTGAGAATTATCATAAATTTGAGTCGAATTTATCTTACGATTATTGAGTAAATTTAAGTAACTGCATAAATATCATATTAAACACACTACACGTATGACCGTTAAATATATATTAACACAGAAGAGTTAAATTAAATATACAAACTACAAATACAATTATTTAAATCCAAAATTTTTAGAGTAAATATATCTTTTATAACTATAATATATAATTAAGTTTGGCGTTGATTATCTTAAAATCACGAACATGGGATAAGTTCATCTCACCGTGGCCTGTTCCATTATCGTGTCTAGGGATATTATATATATATTTGATAACAATAATAAGTACCCTAATGTAGCAACAGTAACCAAGAAAAGGCCAAAACACCACTAAGGGCCATAGGCAGAACATACGAGAAACAAAACCAGAAACGTTTTGGATCTATTTTTGAAGAGAGTAACCGTAGCCTATAGGTTTAACGAATTTGATCCAAATATGCAAAACTCATCACTCACCGTGGGAGCAAGAGGTAATTAATAAGTTACTTGTGCCTATTACATGTTTGTTCATTGTACCATTTTCACAAGATCTAGATGCTAAACCATCGAGGACAAGGATTGAAACTTTGGGTCGATTATTGGCAAAACATAGGACGGGAACCTGAAGTACACTTTTTTTTTTGCAGGCCCGTTTCGCCTGGAAGACTATCATCTGTTCATGCCAGAGGAGCTAGGGCAAAAGGGTTCTTTGAGGTACTCACGACATATCTCACCTCACATGTGGTGATTTCCTTCGAGTCCAGACATCCGATTTTCCACTGTTATCTATGAACGTTATAGTCCTGAAACTCTGAGACCCTTGAGGTTTTGCTGTTATATTCTACACGCGGGAGGTAACTAGATTTTGAAATACTGTAAAAGGAACATAGAAGAAACTACTAATTGTTTTTCAGAAGGCATTTTCAATCATAAGAGTACTGCTTAGTCCTTTTAAATGACCAAAAGTAAAGCAAAAGACATCCTTCTTTGGTATTGAGCTATCACTTAATATATAGGCAGGTATATCCTTGTCTGATCCAAGGGTCACGCCTGGGATTCGCAGCATTTGGATCTCATACTAGTCACAGCCTCACAGGTGGGACTCTATCCTTTGATCTTTAATCAGTTTATACAAATACCCCAGCATGCTAAATTATCTTTCGACTTAAAAATAATGATGTCATCGTCTATGTGTGGTTACAGGCTGACAAATCTTTGGGTCAGAAACTGGCTTCTGTCCTCGGTGTGAGATCAAGTTATTGATGAGCAGAGTCAGTCGGGGAAGCATTTGCAATAAGTTCAACCAACTGGTAATTGGTACCGACCATTATATTTGATTCAAAAAACGTGTTTAATTTAAACATTCAACAAATGCAAGCAACGGAAAACACCTCATAACTGTCGCTGCAACTCTTTTTAATACTTCGCGGGGGGGGGGGGGAGTTCTTTTATACTGTTACATCAAGACTATAAATATGGCCAAAATACAACCGGTAAAAGATGGATACAACATAAGTTTATACAAAGGGAAACAAAGCCAGCAGTGGTTTAGTTATCCGAAAAATCACCATGTTTTGGAATTGTAAAATGTGTATCAAATCCCTCACCCTTTTTCTCAAATAGATCATTAGATAGAAGCATCCCCCGATCATTGAGGGCAGTTTTGGAGAAGGATCATGATTGTTTGATGCTCCATTAAAGTAGAGAAGATATTTCATTCAACAAATCTTTAGGTTTCACCATCACCATCATCCTCGTGATTCTCTGAGGATGCCCGTGGAAAGAATTCATCCTCAGGGAAAATCTCCTTAAATAACTGTCATATTCCAGAGCCAGTATTACCTTCCAATCAGCAATCAGAAATGTTCAACATTTCGTGTGTAGTTCATTCCAAAGAACAAAGTACATAAAAAGCTCAAACAAAGCACCACAACAACAGGCAATTGTGTGTGTATAGAATATTAAATTTCATTAACACCAGCAAATTATGTACCTTAACAGTCGCATCTATGAGATAATCGTAGTTCAGTTTACCATCTGTCATGGGAGTAGAACAGATAAAATCAACTTGACCCTGTATACAAAACATAACTCTGTTGAAAAGGGCATACAATCAACCGTATATTGACATCAATGTTATGTTTGACTTGAAATTAAGTTTGGCAAGATTGGAAATTTCATCTTGGTTGGTAGCCAACTTATTGAAAAATTAATCTTGATTGATGGCCAACTCATTGGAAAATTCTTTGGTAGGTGGCCAACTTATTTTTCATGTTTGGTCCTTAAAATATTAGGTTATTTATAAGTTTAGTCCTTAGAACTCAACTATAAATAGGCCTAAGTATTTCATTAGAAATCATCCCAAAACAAGTTATCTCTTCCATTTGTTTTCTTCATTCTCTCACTTTGGGAATTTTAAAGAATTACATTTGTTGTAATATTTTTTGAATGTGAAGTTATCATCCGGTGTGGTGCCCGAGGAGTAGACGATATTCTCGTCGAACCTCGTAAATTTGGTGTGTTCTCTCCTTTATTGTTTTTATTCAGTTTTTTATTGTGTTTCAATATTTAATAGTTTGATGAGTTTATCCGCTGTGCAACCTTTGGTGGTTTTGATCTTGACATTTTAGGTCAATTTTGAAACTACGTTCGTGTGGGAAATAACTCAGTTTCCCCAACAATTGGCATCAGAGCTTCGGTTGAGGTTATCTTGGTGGTTCCGTTGATGAAAAGATACAGTTCGCGATATTGAATATTGTTCGTAAGAATTAAAATGCCAAAATACGGATCAGTTGAGACATCAAGCTCTTCATTTGGACCAGTGAGGAGGGTAATGTCAAATGCAAATTTCTCGGTGGAGTTGTTCGATGGATACAGTCATTTTGGCATGTGGCAAGGCGGGGTGTTAGACGTTTTATTTCAACAAGGTCTAGACATCGCCATTGAGGAAGAAAAAGAAAGAATGGCGAACAATCAATCGTTTGGCGTGCAGCACGATTCGATCTTGTCTTTCCAAGGAGCAGAAGTATGGGTACAAGAACGAGACTTTTTCAAGAAAGATGTGGAAAGCATTGAAGGAAAAATTCCTAAAGAAAAGCTCTCAGAATCGTCTTCACATGAAGAAAAGATTATTCATATTTGATTATCAACCAGACACCAGTATGAATGAACACATCACTGCGTTCAATGAGATAGTGGCAGACTTATTGGGCATGGATTGTAACACCCCCAACCCGTACCCGACCCGGATACGAGTCTGAGGTGTCACATTGACTACTCAAAACATTTACTTTTACAAATACCCAAGATTCAGTTTGATATTTCTAATAAAACCATATATTTTCTATGATATAAAACATATGCTTTTACAAAACTGATCAGAGCGTATCTAATACAAATATTTTAATTACATGCCAACTAAATTCTATATATAACAAAATACATGTTATTCATTTAGGTTCTGATCTTACATTCATTAAGGAGAAACTAACATGTCTTGCTCCTCTTAGCTTCTCTTCCTACTTTCCTAAACCTACGTATGAAACACTCACACGCTAAGTCATAGACTTAGTGAGACATATAAATATATATATAAATTATCAAATGCATGTACATATCATGTAATACAACGTCATACTGGTATACGTACTTTTTATATAACAATTACATACTCACATGCACGTCACCATTTATATTTTCTCACACTCTTATATGATTATCCTTTCTATCTCTTATCTCTTGTTCATATGATCTCTTATTTTCATATTCTATATCTTATAACATGTTCCTACATCATTATATGAATCCTTGATATTCATTTATATATATACCTTAACATATATTCATATACATCCCATAACAAATGCCATAACCCATAACACACATTCTTTCATGTAACATATACACACATTCATATATATCATCATATAAAACATGTAACACATTTCTCATTGCAACTCACATTTTATCGTTATCTTTTTGGTTAACCCATGCACACTACTGAGAACTTAAGGCATGTGAGTACATAGAGGTTGTGCACTATACTGTCACCACAACTCGTATAATTCCCACTAGGGGCGTATAGAATTTGTCCCGAAGGACCACGTAGATGTCCCGAAGGACAACTTATAACACATATGTCCCAAAGGACCACTATGTCCCAAAGGACCGCATAGACCCTCGACTCTTGGCATGCCAACTATACCTATAACTCTCATAACACATAACATGGGCATTATTTTTACCTCATTACACATTCACATATTCATATCACATAGTCACGTAGTTTATTTTCACGTAGCATTTTTCCATGAAATTCACATTCACGTATCACATAACTTTCCACTTGTACTTGTATTCTTTTTTTTCACATAGCTCATAATTATGATTCTTATCTCATAACATATATTCACATCACTCATATAACATACATAGCATATCGTGTAACGTTCTCATAGAAACACATATGAGTCATATCACTTTCACATATATTTTATCATATATCTTATCTCTTATGATCATATAACCTATTATCACACATACATGCATTCACAAGGTTCACATATAAAGATACATTCGACAATTAAACCTATGCATTTACTCATATACTTCTAGCACCATATTATTACAGGATCATGCTCAGGTACTCTTAAACATCATATCATACTATACTTATATTATTGTACTTATGTATCTATTATCGGAATTAGACTCATCGCAAGTCTTAATTCCATAAACATCATGTACACTTAATATCATGTACTCACCTGGTCTCACTAGTCAATATCGATATGTTATCTTTTCCTTGATCGATCTTATTTGCCAAGTTTCGGAACTTGTTTAGGCTCTGAATCTACATAGTAATTCATTGATACTAATCAGTATATTAATTAATATATTTTAAACTATCATTTCTTGGGCTAAAAGAATAGTCATTTTCATCTTTTAATGAAGGTATGCATCGATGCACTACTTGTGCATCGATGCACTGATGGCATTCGATGTTCGTATTTTAGAAGAGTGCATCGATGCACTTCATGTGCATCGATACACCTTGAACAATTTCTAGGATTTACCCTTGATGCATCGATGCACATAGCCCAGAATTCCAATTTATACCTGAAAATCCAATCTTTTCAGCTTAATTACTTTATATATCATCCCCTTTCTTATTCTTAACTTACATATACATGTTTAAACTCATTTATATTCATTTATCTCGTCTTTAACCTTAATATCCTCTCCTCTTTATTAACTTCAAGAATCATACCAGATTTTGAACATGTTTTAAAACTTATTCTATCACTCCACATCTCTTAATTTAACCCTTGACAAGTCAAATTCAACTTCAAAATCTATTAACTCCTTCTATTTCAAAAATTCACTTAAAATTTCATTTTCTTTAATCTCTTCTATATCCTTCATCTTGTTGTTTTAGAACAAATTAAGCTTTCCTTAAGCTTATTTATCCTCTAATGATCATAGCCCAACCTTAAAATCAATAATTAATCCACAAACAAAGAAACTCACCTTTGAGCTTGGAGATACGGGAGGAAGAAGAAGAAGACTGAAGAATACTCTGAGAAATTATCTCCTTCCCACGTGCTTATTACCCTTTATAAAGGGAAATAAAAATCTTTCTGAAAAATGACCATAATACCCTTGTTACTTCAAACTTTGTTATTTAAATCCAACATCAATACTTTTCATTTAAATCTCTAAACTTTCAATCTCTTCTGAGATTGGTCACTAAATTACCAAAAATTCTATTTTGATCATTGACCCGACTTTTGGGATGTTACATGGACGAAACCTTCAAAGATGAAGATTTGGCCTTGATGTTGTTGTCATCTCTTCCAGATGAATTTGAGCACCTTGAGACAATGTTACTTCATGGTAAGTATAATGTTACCCTTAAAGATATAACTGCTGCTTTGTATTGTTATGAGCTCAGGGAGAAAACTAAGAAGGAGAGCAAGTCGAAGCAACGGAGGCCATGGTGGCAAGAGGTCGCTCGAAAAGTCAAAAGCCAAAGTGGAGAGGGAGATCAAAGTCGAAGTCCAGACTGGGAAAAGATGAATGTGCCTTTTGTCATGAGAAAGACCATTGGAAGAAAGATTGTCCAAAGCTGAAGAAGAAAGAAAAAGCTGCTGAAGAAGAAAGGAAAAGCTGCTGAAGAAGAAAGAAAAGCTGCTGAAGAAAAAAGGAAAAGCTGCTCTAGATGTATGTGTTGCAGAGCATGATGCAAATGACTCTGACATATCATTGGTTGTTTCATCAACAATATTCCATTCAGATGAATGGATATTAGATTCAGGTTGCACTTATCATATGTCCCTTAATCGGGAGTGGTTCTCTGATTTAGTAGAACTAAATACAGGAGTTATTTATATGGGCAATGACAATGCCTGTAAAACTGTTGGGATAGGTTCAATTCAATTGAAGAATCAAGATGGATCAACCAGAGTTCTAACTGATGTCCGATACGTGCTCAGTTTGAAGAAAAATCTCATCTCGTTGGGAGCATTAGAATCCAAAGCTCAGTAGTCACTATGAGAGATGGAGTTTTAAAAGTCACATATGGTGCACTTGAGATGATGAAGGACATCAGAAAAATAATTTGTATTACTACCAAGGTAGTACAATTATTGGAGCAGATGTAGCAGCTTTTGGAGGTGATGATTTGGACGCAACCCAGTTCTGACATATGCGGTTAGGACATGCTGGAGAGAAATCCTTGCAAATTCTGGCAAAGAAAAGATTGTTGAAAGGTGCAAAGGCTTGCAAATTGAACTTTTGCGAGCATTGTGTTATGGGAAAGCAGAAGAGAGTGAAGTTTGGCACCACTATACATAATACAAAAGGTATTGTGGATTATATACAGTCAGATGTATGGGGTCTTTCAAAGACATCGTCTTTGGGAGGAAACCATTATTTTGTAACTTTTGTAGATGACTTTTCCAGAAGAGTTTGGGTGTATCCGATGAAGTCTAAAGATGAAGTGCTTCGAATTTTCCTTAAATAGAAAATATGATCGAGAACCAAACTGGTAGAAAGATCAAACGTCTTAGGACA